GAGGAGGAGGAGGAGGAGGAGGAGGACGCCAAGCATGGAAGGGACGCGCGCGCATTCTGCCACTGTAGTCTCTCGGACGGCCACGCGAAGTGAGCAGACGGCCACATGTGCAGCCAAATTGGCTCAACCGAGAGATAGCAGAGGCGAACGCTCCTCGTCTGATAGCCGTTGGATTGCCAAGCAGCGCAGGTGACGACGGCTGAGCGCGCATTCGGCCTGCGAGCCGTGGAGGCAGAGGCAGGCAGAGGCGGCGGCACAGTGTGACGCGCTGGCTGCGTTGCATTGCGTCGGATAGTAGCACGGCTACTCGAGCGGCTCACCCGAACGCACACTCGCAAGGCCGGACCCTTTCTGCTGCCCCCCGCAAAATCCAAACTTTACGCCAGACACCCTAGCGGAACCTCTGGCGGAAAGTCTCGACGCGTCCCGGCTACTTGTTCGGCAAGGCTGAGTGTGAGACCGACGTTCGAACAGCAACCACCGCAATTCAAACCGATCAGATCGGCTTCGACGGCGGTTGTAATATCGCCGATGCACTCAGGGTCTCGAGGGCTGGAATTTTTCGTCGGGTGGCCGCAAAAGGCAGCAGCGACACTGCCAAACTTCTCGAGGCGATTCAAAGAGAAAAAAGTTGGGAGCGAGAAGAGCAGAGCTGCTGCTTGCTCCACACGTCCGACTTTGGGAAAGCACACACACACTCTCTCTCCCTCCCTCTCACCATCAATCGCGCGGATCTCTCTTCCATCACACACTCAAGGTGAGGTGCAGATCGCCCAAAATGCCCGCGCAAACACACAAGCCCGGTCCGGCAAAGCGCAAGGCCAACGCCGCCCCAGTCGCGACGCCACCGCAAAAGAAAAAGCCCGCTGCCAAGCCGTCTCCTGCCAAGCGCACCTCCAACAATGACGACGACTTTATCATGACGCTCGACTCGGACGACGAGGTGGTCGACCTCGATGCTGTCAATGCTGACGCCGACGCTGCTGACTCCGCTTCCGAGTCGGAACCCGACACACCTGCAGCCGACGAGAAGCTCACCAAGAACCAGCGCAAGCGCAAGGACAAGGCGCACCTCGCAGGCAAGGAAAAGATTGTAGAGAGCGTCTCGGCGCGCTCCAACAACGCCGCTGCAGCTGCCAAGGACTCCATGGCGCTCGACAAGCACTTCGAGTTCGACATCTTTGGCGACGGCTCCGGCGCCGACTACCAGTGCACGGATATCCCGCACGAATCCAACGGCTGGGACATGTCCGTCAATGGCCACAGGATGCACAAGAAGCTCAACGTCGACGACATCATCGAGAAGCGAAGAAAGACGCGCCCACAGATCCAGCTGCCGGAATCCGACGACGACGAATCGGATGATGCTTCGGACGACGCCTCCGACGCGCTCGACGACGACATCAAGTTCGCCGAGTTTGGCGATAGCGACGACGAAGACGACGAGGCAGGCCACGACCGCTTCGGTGGCGGCAACGGCAAGATCATCGGGGACGACCAGGACGATGACAAGGCAGCCGAGATCGACAGCGAGGAGGATCCGCTGAGCACCGACGAAGAGGAGGCCTCGGACGACGGCGACGACGACGACCAGGTGCAGGACCAGGAGGACGCCGAGTCCAACTCGAGCGACGACGACTCGGACGAGGAGACCGAGCAGGAAAAGGCCAAGAAGGCCGCATTCTTCGCCGACGAGCCCTCCACCTCGGCCAAGGCCAAAGCGAGCGATGCTGCCGAGTCGTCGTTTGCCAGCTTCTCGCTCTCGCGGCCCGTGCTGCGCGCTCTGTCGTCGCTCTCGTTCCACAAGCCCACGCCCATCCAGTCGCGCACCATCCCCATCGCGCTTGCTGGCAAGGACATCGTTGCCGGCGCCGTGACCGGTTCCGGTAAGACCGCCGCGTTCATGATCCCCGCCATCGAGCGTCTCACGTGGCGTGCCAAGGGTCGGGCGCAAGAAGCCAAGTCGCGCGTGCTCATCCTGGCGCCCACGCGCGAGCTGGCGATCCAGTGCTACTCGGTGGGCAAGTCGATCGCCAAGTTCACCGACATCCGCTTCTGCCTCTGCGTCGGCGGTCTGTCGGTCAAGAGCCAGGAGGCGGAGCTGAAGCTGCGTCCCGAGGTGGTCATCGCTACGCCCGGTAGGCTCATCGATCACGTGCGCAATTCGGCGAGCTTCACGCTGGATGACATCGAGATCCTCGTCATGGACGAGGCGGACCGCATGCTGGAGGACGGCTTTGCGGACGAGCTCAACGAGATCGTCAAGTCGTGTCCCAAGGGTGCGCGTCAGACCATGCTCTTCTCGGCCACCATGACGGATGATGTGGAGCAGCTCGTGAGGCTGTCGCTCAAGCGTCCCGTGCGGCTGTTTGTCGACCCCAAGCGGACGACGGCCAAGAAGCTGGTGCAGGAGTTTGTGCGCGTGCGCGGTACAGGCACGGGCGGCGTTGCTGGCGCAGACGGTCTTGCTGGCGTGGGCCAAGAGGCGTCGTCGTCGGCACCCAGCGGGGGGAAGAGGAGCGAGGATGCACAGCGACCGGCGCTGCTGCTCGCACTGTGCACACGCACCTTCACCAGCCAGGTCATCATCTTTGTGCGCTCCAAGAAGCTTGCGCACCAGCTCAAGATCGTGTTTGGCCTGCTCGGCCTTTCGGCGGGCGAGCTGCATGGTGATCTGTCGCAGGAGCAGCGTATCGATGCGCTGACGGCCTTCCGCGATGGCAAGGTGGACTTTCTGATTGCGACCGACCTGGCCTCGCGCGGTCTCGACATCAAGGGTGTCCAGACGGTGATCAACTACGATATGCCGGGACAGTTTGAGGCGTATCTGCACCGCGTGGGTCGTACGGCGCGTGCGGGACGCAATGGTCGAGCGGTGACGCTGGTGGGCGAAGCGGACCGGCGCATGCTCAAGCTGGCGATCAAGAAATCCAGCGCCGACCAGATCAAGCACCGCATCATCCCGGCCGAGGTGGCGGGCAAGATGCTCGAGACTCTGGAGGAGCTCAAGCCCGAAGTGGATGCGGTGCTGCGCGAGGAGAAGGAGGAGAAGGCGCTGCGGATCGCCGAGATGGAGCTCAAGAAGGGCGAGAATATGGTTGCACATGCCGACGAGATCTTTGGTCGGCCCAAGCGCACCTGGTTCCAGACGGGCGCGGATAAGGATAAGGCGGCGACACTGTCCAAGGCGCAGTACGAGGCGACCATGGAGGCCAAGAAGAAGGACGCGCCCGCAAGAGACAAGTATGCGGGACTTAGCAGGAAGAAGCGTCGCAGCAAGATGATGCGCGACGAGATCGAGCGGGAAACCCAAGAGGCGCGTGCGAGCGGCGGCGCCAAAACCGCCTCGGGTTCCAGCCTCAACGCCTCGGTCCGCGCAGCAAAGAAGGCACAACGTCCCACCAAGCTCGGCGTGGCTCCCGTCAAGGTCGCCAACGGCAAGGGCGCCAAGGGCGCCAAGGGCTCGGGCGGTAAGAAGGTCAAGAGCTCCTTCAGCCGCGATCTCACCGACAAGAAGCGTCGTTAACGTCCCGCCCCCAGCAGATGGACTTGCAGAGGGAGTTGCAGGAATGACACGGCATCTTTTCGGACCGAGCGTGTGTGCGCGTTTGCGTGAGTGCAATGGATGTGATGCGATGATTTTGTCGGTGTGGGTGGGGGAAAGGGGGATCTAGTCGGCTCCACCGTAGACGGCGAGGAGGGCATCGCCTACACCCGAGGGTGTGAGCACGCCCACGTCGCTAAACAGGAACGTCACCAGGTCCGGCGTGGTATAGTCGATCTATCATGCAGCGAAAGGAGATTGTTAGCACGTCGTGTCGTCGCTCTTTTGAGTGTGGGAGGTACTTACTGCGGGGTTGAGGAGTTCCTGTGCGCGCGACATTTGCAACGTCTGTTGTGTGCTGCCGAGTTTGGGGGTTGCGTGATCTTGCTCCGCCTCTCGTGTAGTTGCAGTGTCGCTGGGCTGGTCATCGAGGTCGGGAAAGGCGAGCAGGTTTCGGTTGGTGTTGTTGGTGGGCAGATCGTACTGGTTGAGCGGGAACATGCGGAGGAACTTGAAGCTCTCTGCGAGTGCGAAGAAGGGTTTGTTGCACGCCTTTGCGATGATCGCCATGCCATACGTCCCCACGGCATTCAAGCATCCGCCTGACTCGACGACTCCCTCGGCACCCGTGAGGACCAAATCCACCTTGGGCATCGTGTAGGCCACTGCGGAATCGAGAATGACTGTGCAAGGGATTCCGTGGCTGATGAGCTGGTTGTAGGTTCGCAGACCGAGGCCGTGGGGGCGCGATTCGGTGACGTAGACCGAGATGCGCTTTCGCTGGTGCAGGGCGGCGAATTTGAGCGCCTGCATGACCACGCGCGAATACGAATGCGTCAAGACCACACTGTCGTCACTGATGAACGGCAACACCAGCTCGCAGATCTTTTCGCGACACGATGGCACAGTATGCACGGCAAACTCGTGTGCCAGTGCAGCGAGCGAGGCCTTGTGCGCTTCAAAGTCGTCGCCCGTATCCCAGGACTTGGTCACGACAAACCGCGTGAACAGATCCAACCCCGCCGTTGCAGGCACTGGATTCTCCAGCGAGGCCTTGAGTCGATGCGACGCTGAGCGGATGTTCTCCATCAACTCTGAAGTTGTCGCCGCGCGCGATTTGGACACCAGCTCCGCCAGCGCAAAGATCGCCGCGATCGGAAAAGGCAGTTCGGCATCGGACGAGAGGAGATCGTGGTAGCACGAGATGATGTCGAACTCGTCCGTTGCGGTGCTGCTGCCCGAGGGCGAGAGAAGCTTGGGCACAGAGGTGGATGATGTGGCACTCGGCGCCATCGTGGATAGCTGGCCGTCAATGCAAGATGGCAGAGTGAGAGAGGATGAAGAAGATCAAAGGCTAGGAGCTCGAGCAGGGCAAAGCGTGCGTTGCGAACAAAAATCCGGCTCCACTCCCACACCGAAATCCGACCGTCAGAGGCGCGCGTGAATTTTGGCTCTGTGTGCAGATGCAAAGTCTCACATTGCGCACATCTCCCCACCCTGCACGGCGTCGCTCAGGAATCACACGGTGGATGCAATCCCAAGCAGCCACTCGCTGAAGGAGCCTCAACACGACAGGCAACGGAGGAGGCGTCTAATGAGAGTGATAGCGGCCGTACAATCTGGGTATACAAAGAGGGTGAGGGCGAGGGCGAGGGTGAGGGTGAGTATCACTTCAAGGCGTCCAGATCTTGATGGTGAGATCGACGCTGGAGGTGGCTACGACATTGACGGTCCTTGGTTCTTGCTTGACCGCATTGGATCCGTTTGCACCCGCGGCAGCGTCGGTGTCCTGAGCAGGTGGAATGGGCGCCTCGATCTTGGCTTTGCCCCAGGCGATGCTGGTGCAGAAATGCGCATGGGCATCGATCGTCTTTGCGCATCGGCCGGTCTTGAGGTCCCAGATGCGCATGGTCTTGTCATCCGACACGGAGAGCAGGTTCTTGCCGTTGGGCGAAAACGCCAGTCCTCTGACCCAGTTGTCGTGGCCAGTGAGCGTCTTGAGGCACTGCCCTGCACTGTCCCAGATCTTGATCGTCTTGTCCCTCGATCCCGTCGCTGCGAACTGACCCGGCGCAGAGGCGGATGCATCCTTGGGTGCGACCAGACCGGCCAGCTCGCGCAGAGCGGCGTACGCCGATACGGGCGCAAAGATGGCCACCTCCACAACGTGGTCGTGATCGCGCAGCTCGACTTTGGTCTCGCCCGTGGAAAGGTCCCAGATGCGTGCGGTCTGGTCGGTAGAGCAACTGAGGAGCCACCTTCCATCGTCGGAGGGTATTGCGGATCGAACCCATTCGGCGTGGCCGTGCAGCGTGCGTGTGCAGAATCCAGTGGCGAGCTCCCAGATCTTGATGGTCTTGTCCCTACTTGCGGATACGAGAAAGCCGTCGCCGGGCAGAAAGGCGACGGAGGAGACGCTGTGATCGTGGCCGTGAAGCGTCTTGACGTTGCGATAGTCGTTGCTGGCATCCCACACCTTGATGGACAAGTCGGAGGAGCACGAGACGATGTAGTTGCCCTTGGAGTCAAAGTTGACGTCCTGCACCGCCTTGGTGTGACCCTTGAGCGTGCGTTCGAATTCGCCCGTCTCCCAGTCCCACAGCTTGACCGTCGTGTCTTCGGACGCCGATGCGACCTGGCTAAAGACGGGGTGGAAGGAGACTTTGGTGACGGGCATGCGGTGGCCCTGCATCGAGTGTCGTGCCGAGGCAGCACGGGGCACCCAGTCGTTGAGCGATGCGGATCGCTTGGCGGACGGTGCGGCGGCGAGTTCTTCCTGGAGCTGCGACATGCGCGATTCCATCTCCATGATCTTCTTTTGGAGCCGGATGACGCTCGTCCACTTCTTCTCGAGCAGGCCTGCGTATTTGGCCTTGGGATCGGGCACAAAGCCGTCCTGCCCCGCCTCGCGCATGAGGGTTGCGTAGGATTCGTGCAGACCGTTGGTCTTGAAGTAGTCGAGGATCGACTTGTGCAGTTCGTCCTTCTGGCGCTCGGAGAGCATGCTGGTGCTGCTGATGGAGCTCATGGCGGCTTGGAAGGCAGACCTGCTGCACGGTGAAGCCTAGCAGCAGCACCTCGGGGGGCAGGCAGCGAGGGGTTGGGATCGAGCGAGCGATGGGAATGGCTTAGCCAGCCAAGCTCATGGTGGCTGTCGTTGGCCGCGGATTGAGGTTGGTGACGAGTGGCAGGCAGGCCGAGGTGTGGAATGCAACAGCTCGATGGGTAGTGGTAGAGTGACGAGCAGGTCGGCAAGCTTGCGTGTGTGTGTGTGTCGTCGATCTTTCTCCATCCGGCCGATTGAACCCGTTGGACCAGTGAAATAAGCCGCGGTCTAACACTGTTTAGGCGCCCGGCTCAGCGGCGGCGACATTCGAGTCGACTTAGCCGGTGGAGACGCCAACCCGAAATTCAGCAGCAACAGGCAGGGCAGGCGTGAAACGAGTGAAAGGCGGCTGAATCACCTCTGCCCGCCTCCCTCGCTTGATCGCACCGGCTGCGCCCCACACTTTGTGCCGCGCAGCTCGCAATCCCCTTCATCCTCCGCAACACCATCCATCGTGCCATCATCCCACCGTCGCTCCTCTCACCCTTGCATCTATTCCTACTGCACATCTTGCGCACACCGCACACCGCACACCGCCCACGACCCATGCCATCGCCACCCAAGCCTTGGGAACGTGCAGGCGCAGGCGCGGCTGCCGATCTCTCCTCCTCTTCCACCATGTCGTCCTCTGCCGCTTCGTCATCTGCGCTCGCCACCACATCCGCTGCTGCGCCCGCACTGCCCGAACGTCCGTCTACTCTCGGAGCAAGCTCGGCTGCCACAGGTGCATACGGTGCATCCGCCTACAACTCGCCCTACAGAAGCACAGTCGGTGGACTCGGCTCTACCTATGGCGGCATGGGCTCCACATACGGCACCTCCTACGGCTCCCCTTACTCGCGCTACGGCGGCATGGGTGGCATGGGCGGCATGGGCGGCATGGGCTACGGAAGCTACGGCAGCTACGGAGGATACGGCGGCTACGGAAGCTACGGCGGCTACGGAGGCTACGGTGGCATGGGCATGGGAATGGGCATGGGCATGGGCGGCATGCCAGGCATGCCCGGACAGCCCGGCGACGTCTCGCTCACCCAGCGCATGGAGGCCGGCACCCAGGCGACGTTCGAGCTCATCAGCAGCATCGTCGGCGCGTTTGGCGGCTTTGCGCAGATGCTCGAGAGCACGTTCATGGCGACGCACAGCTCCTTCTTCGCCATGGTCGGTGTCGCCGATCAGTTCGCCCACCTTCGCACCTACCTCGGCCAGGTGCTCAGCATCTTTGCGCTCGCACGCTACCTCAAGAACCTCGGACTGCGCCTCGCAGGAAAGGCGCCCGCCGTCGAGCTCGACGCGCGCGAGTTCAAGGAGTTTGCCGCACACGGCGCCAGCGGCCAGCCGGGCAAGGCGGCGCGTCCGAGCAAGCGTCCGCTCATCGTCTTCTTCATGGCGGTCATCGGCCTGCCCTACCTCATGGGCAAGCTCGTGCGCTTCATCACTGCCAAGCAGGAAGCCGAGCGCCAACGCCTCGAACAGCAGGGCCACAATCCGGGTCAGGCCGGTCTGCTTCCAGGCCAGCACGGCGGAGGCATGATCGCCGCCAACGAAAACGGCGAGCCCATCGACCCGAGCAAGCTCACCTTTGTGCGTGCGCTGTACGCCTACCCTGCCACCGACCCGCTCGAGCTGAGTCTGCAGCCCAACGACATTGTAGCCGTGCTCAGCAAGCACGACCCGCAGACGGGCGCAGAGAGCGCGTGGTGGCGCGGACGCACGCGCGACGGCCGCATCGGCTGGTTCCCCAGCACCTACGTCGAGTCGCTCGAGTCGGCCAAGGAGCGCGCCACCAAGGCTTCTGCAGCGTCAAACACCACAAAGGCAGCCGATACCGCCGACAAGGCGTCCGCACAACCTGCAAAGCCTGCCACTGTCAAGGCCACCTAAGCCCCGCTCCAGCACATCGCACCACACGCACCCGGATGTATATTGTACTTGTACCCCTTTTTCTGTCGATCCCAGTTTAACCCATGTGTCGTTTGCGGATGCCATTTCTGCCTTGCTTGTGCACAAATGAATGTGCGAGGGTCCAGATGACAAGCGCCGTTTGGCAGCGGGAGGCCAGCCCCAAAATAGCTCTTGGCGGGGGGCCAGACGTGCATGCCAGAGTGCGTGCGACGCGGTGCGACTCTGTGCGACTCTGTGCGGCTCTGCCAGGTGACGTTGACGGCGCCCAGACGTGCATTATTGGGCGGCTCGCTTTTCGCCCAGCCTAACAGCCAATTTCGAGCCGCGACCTCGCCACGCTCGAACCAGCTCCGACCCACCTCACCTCCACCAACACCTACCTCACTTTGCACCAGCAGTGCTGCAACATCATCCTTCTTTCATCTGCCACGGAAGCTGCAACGGCGACTGCTCGGCATGCAGCCCCTCCACCATGCCGCCAGCACAACGCAGAGCCGATCGCTCGCGCATGTACAACCTCGCCGGCCACGCCCACTCGTCCGGCTCGCTGCTGCCCCGGTCGACCGACGTGCATGCCGCCTCCGCCTCAGCAGGGCCGTCGTCGACTCAACCACCTAGGGGCGTAGATGCAGCCGATGCGCCCTACCTCACCAACCTCGAGTCGCACTTTGGCAGGGTCACTCTTACCGCACCGGACAACTTGCTGCGAAAGCAGGCCAAGGAGAAGAAGCAAAAGGTGCGACAACGAAAGGCGCAGAATGCACATGCGGCTGCGGCGGCTCTCGCTGCACCCTCACACGCCGCACTCTCGCCCAACACCCCTCGCAATGCCGGCGTCTCCACCGGCCTGCTCGACCCAGGGCGTCGGTATCAGGCCGCACTCGACGATGCGGCGGCGGCGGGGAGTGGATTGCTGCTGTCAGCTCCGGGTCAGCAGGGTGTCATGCGTCGTGCGCACAGCGGCAACCAAACCCCGACCTTGGCTTCGACCTCGTATCTCCAGACACCTCCGGCCTCTAGTGCACAGACGACAGCGACTAGGGTGCGGAGACGCAGACAGTCGATCGCACGCGACGATGCTAGCAGACCTGCTTCCAGAGCAAGCGCAACCAGTCGACCCGACAGCGCACTTTCGTTCAACGACGATGAGAATGCACAGCCTGACCCGGGCTCTGCGCAGACTCGGGATGCCCCCCGTCGCTCCCGCACCGAGAGTGCACCCGCAGCTCAGCGTCGATCTCAGAACGCATTTGCAACGCCAACCGACACTGCGCCCAACGGTCCGTCACGCCCACATCCGCCGCAGCCTGCACTGCAACAGTCTCTGCACCGCCAAAATGTATGGAACGACATTACCGAGGACGATCCAGATGACCTCCCGCCGCCTTTTCCGGAGGGAGCCCCTCGACCACCTACGCCTCCACAGCCACCGTCGCATTCGGAAGCGGCTGCAGATGCGCAGCTCATCGCCCCGCAGCCACACACTCGCATTCCTGACAGCCCGCCACCACCCTTTGTGAGCGACGATGAAGACGAACCGTTGGTCGGTGGGGCAGCAACAACACAAGAGCAAACGGGGGAAAGGCCGCGCAGTCGGGCCTCGACGACAAGCTCGGCTTCAGCAAGCGGGGACGAGAGTGTCGAGCTCACCGAAGAGCGTAGGGCGTGGGAGTCGGATCTACGCAACGGCCTCAGCTTCGACGTGAGACTGCTCAGGGAACAGCAGCGTCGTGTGGCACGCGAACGCGCGGCGGTGTTCCAAGCGCGCGAGCAGCAGCAGTCCGCCCGTATCGAGGAGGATGCCGCGACTTCGGAGGCTGAGGTCACGGCAGACGGCGCCGGCTCGGAAGTCGAAGCCCAGCCAGAAGCGCCGGCACAGAGTGCGCAGCAAGAACCGGTCAGCGCGGTAAGGCCTGTCTCGCCGCAGGTGCCGTCGGACGCTGCTGCTGAAGCTCAAGCAAGTCCTGATCGGCTGCACGACGCCTTCCAGGACGACCCAAGTGCGCAGGCTGAAGAAGCACCCGCTGTCGAATCACCAGTGCCGCCAGCTCGCCAGCTGCCAAGCGCCTCTGTCGCAGCAGAGGCCCGTCCAGCAGTGCAGGCTGCGACGGCGAACGACATTGCCGACATCAGTGGCCGTCTGTCGCTGTCCAACGAGCCTCGTCTTGGCCTGCCGCAGATGCCGCAGATTCCGCAAATTCCACAACCTCCAGCCTCTCCGATCTCAAACGGCCAGGATGCTATCCGTTCTCCTCGCTCGAGCCACATCTTGGGCCACAGGAAGACCAATTCCGATACGCCGAACGCGGGAAGCTCAAGAGCCGACAACGCGCGCTCCCACGTAGGTGTTCGCGCATCGGTTGGAGGCGCACCTGGGCGTCGAATCGAGCTGGCACATGCGGCAAGAACACACGGTAGCGACTCGCACCTTCCTCTGAGCCGGCGGCCGGAAGATACGCTGTTTGTCATTTCAGCTCCGCCGCCGGCTGTTCACGCGCGCGCTGCGAGTGGGGACGAGGCGAACACATCGTGCGTTGCTCAAGTCGACGACACCGCCGTGCCCGTCCGCGACGTCGAGGAGGTCTCGTCGCACGACGAGGACGATGGTGCCGAGTCCGACTCTTCGATCGAGCAGTGGCTTGCCGAGGCAGCGGCGTTTGATGCGCTGCGCAAGCGCGAAGATGAGGCTGCCGCGCGTGTGCAGCAGCTGCGCGAGCACGTGTCGGAGAGCAGCGAGAGCGAGCAAGACATGCCTGGCGCATTCAATGTCCGACCGTCCCGACGCACCGGAAGCAAGGTACCCGACCCGGAGAGGCTCAAGCTCATGGACGAGGTGCTGCCAAAGGCTCCGCCTCCGCTCGTGCTCGGTAGGTCCAGAGGCGGCGCTGCGTTCTCGGATTCAGACTCGACCGATACCGACGATGCGCTCGATCAGTACTCGTCGAGCGACGAGGATGATGACCAGCACCGCGCGTTTAGAGATGCCGCGGCGGGAGGAGAGGCGGATGCATTCGCGGATGCTCATAGCTCGGTGCATGCGCGGAATAGCTCCTCGGCACCGAATTTGTCTATACTCGACGAGGCGGCTGGGCCCGATCTACTGCCCGGTGCAAAGGTGGTGGACGGTCCAGAACGAAAACTCAGCGTCAAGGCTAGAGGCAAGCTGCCTGAACGCCCCGAGCCTCCATCGCCAGCAAATAGCGCTGCAGGCCCACCGCACAAGCATGACGTGCCCGAGACAAGGGCCGGCGAGTTTCAAGAAGACTCGTCGAGCAGTCGCGACGTGTCGGATGCAGACGAGATGGCACCGGTGCCACGAGCCGATTTCAACGCTGCTCGTGGAAGGATTGAGGCAGCGCCACTCGCAAGCCGATCGGGCATGGAGCCGCTGCTGCAGCCGCTGGGGTATGGGCGCAGCAGACCGGATGTCGGCGGTCGTCTCAAGGGCCTATTTGGCCAGCCGCTGGTGGCGAGCGCTGATGCCGCGGTAATGACTGCGGTCGAGGGTCCGCGACCGATGAACGGCTCGCGTCGCGCCTCCAACAGGAGCGTCAAAGAGCAAGACGCGGTGGCTGCGGAAAGTGAGAGTGCGCCAGCGATGGCCCCATCGATGCGTCGGCAGTCGAGCGGTGGCGCACGCAAGGTATCCTCAACGCAGACGCCCGAGCAAAAGGCGCGCGATGAAGCACTCGCGCAGATCGCACAGGTCAGCGGCGCGCAGGCGAAGCACGACTCGCTCGCGGCTCTCGAGCGGCTTCTCGCCAAGACGGGACGTCCCACCTCAATGCTGCCCCCCAGCGCTATGAGTCGTGCAGAGCTCGGCGGACGGCTGCAGCCTCCCTCAGGCAGCGGGGAGTCGGACGCACCATCAGCCGGGGAGAAGAGCGAGGCTCCACCTGCGCCGCCGGCTAGGAGTAGGTTGTCGCGCCAGGGCGCTGTGCGTGGTCGAGTGGAAAGTGTGGTGCCCTCGCAGGGGTTGTCGCGCGCGCCGTCGACTGCTCGACCGGTGTCGTTTGTCAACCCGCGCTCGTCAGCGGCGCCACTACCACGCGGTAGGCTGCCGGCGATCACGGATGCGACGCGCCACTTTCCGCCGTCGGCCAGCACGGGGCCGGGGGTGACGCCGTCGTGGCTGGCGTACATCCCGTCCGAGGAGCAGGAGAGGCTGCCCGCGCCGCTGGAACCGCTCAGGGTCGGACGCGTCTCCGAGATGGTATCGCGCTTCGAAGCGACCCCTTCCACCGATCAGGACAAGCCGACGTCTCCCACCAAGCGTGCAGCCGCGTCGTTCGGTAGCCCGCAGGTGTCGAGAGATGCGGACGCGGCAGTCTTCCGGCGTTTCAACCCTGACGCTGGGGAGGGTGGGGTGCAACGGCGACCTCCTCCTCCCCCGCCCACGCATCCGAGGCAGAG